AGAATTTGTATAGCTTTTAATTTTTTTTTTATCTAGGTAGCCCCCTCTCCCCGCACCCTCCAACTTTTCCTAACTCAAAATTCTATCCAGGTGTTACCCCTTGGACTCAGTGGACACATGTCTGCCCTACTGCTCAGCTTATCAAGGATGTCCCAACAGCTACGTCTGCGAGTACCCCATGTTTAGAGATGGTCGAGGACTCTGCATGTTCTGAATAAACTCGAAACTTATAAGCAGGAGTATGCTTCTAGTTTAGAAGTGCCTTGAAGCACGTTCATCATTCTCAACGTCAGAATGACACAAGAAATGAACTATATGAGTGTGACCAAAATTGCAAACAATGATAATCTTTAATATTTGATTGAGGAACAAAAATCTTTTTAAAGTCGTTCGATCGAAATTTATATTTAACTTTTTTTCTGTATATATGAAGGTTGTTAACAATGACTGACGTTGAGATCGAATATTACTATCGTGGCGACCAATCATATTTTAACATTTTACTAATTTGAAATGTTCAAATTTATCATAATTAATTATACGTACAGTAAAAATTTTCGAATATAATTGCTTATGAAGACTTTTTGATTTTAATTTCGAAGCGAGACGGACATTTTAGCTGCAAAATTTTGAGGAGTCTAGATTTTGGCTTCTTAATTAGGAAATATAGGAGTATGCTATTTGGTTCCTTTTCTTTTTCCTGGTTTCGTTTGGTGCTGGTTGAGACGGACATTACGTTACGAGCATCCAGTACCAATTATTAGAAGTTTTAGTCTTTTCAAGAGTCGATGAAAGTAATTCAGATTCGTATATAGGTCGCGATGACTTTTTTTATTTTTTTTAAAGGAAAAATCTTAAAATTTGTTCAGGCTCAAATGCATTTGATCGCGGTTTGACTTTGATTTTTTTAAATTCACTTTTTTTTCTGTGTTAAACGGAAGGCAAACTCCACGATCGAACAGCAAAAAAGTGTAAAGAAAACGAAAAACGTTATCGACTTTTAGTTTTGAAAGCGGAATTTTATTTTCAGATTTCACAGCGATAGAAAAAAAACAACAACTCACTTCTCGATCCAATTTTCTTCTACAAATTGTTCTACAAATTGAACGAGCTTTAAGGGCATTTATTTTTCGTCAAAATTCAAAAATTGAGATTTTTTCAGAAACCATGTCGATGTTTATATTCTGTTTACTTGCGTTCATTGACTTCTTTCCAACTGTTTGTTGGCTATGTTTCAATTTTTTGACCAACCAAATTGATTTTCCCAATTTCAGTAATGCCAAAAAAACATATAGCCAAAAATTTCTCAAACACTTATTTTTAGAAGAGTCGTCAAAAATACAGTTTTTGAAGATTTAGAAAAATCCTAGTTCTGCCGTGACTTATAGTTTATGGTAACAATTCAAAAATAATTTACATATTTTTAGTGGCGTTTATAGAATAGTATTACACTTTAAAATAGTATTTCAGAAAGTTTTCTTTCCACAATTCATTTTGTTTGATTTCAGTTTTTGACTTCAGTTGTCTGCAAGTTGTTGGGTTTCTGCAATTGACGATGTCATTGCATGTCCGTCAAGGAAATTATAGTAGTCGATTTTTTTCTACTGTTGAAATTTGGCTGACACAACTTTAAGCAACAAGAAAATTGGAGAAGCGATATTTTTGCTGCAAGTCTTCGTGTACACCAAAAAATTAGTATCAAAAAGTTAATTCATGTTAAAAACTAAACAGTAAAATAATGGCAAACTCAAAATTATGCTTGAACATTTCAATGTAGAATTCAGAATACCTATGCATAATACTCAGTTGTCAATAGAAAAATGCAAACTTTAGCTTTTTTAGTTTTGTTTTTTAGAAGAAAAAATGTATCTACTTAACAATCTACAACAGAATCTTTACCTCTGTAAATAAAAATAGTAAATTCGCATTAGAGCGTTGTGATATTTCACTTGTGATCTTTTTTTGTACAGTTATGGGGGTCTAAAGATTACATTTTAACCAATTTGGGACAATTAATGCGCGATATATTTCGCGCTATTAACGCGTAAGCGAGGTTTAATCCGTCCTAGAAATTGTTCGAAATTGGTTAAAAGAAGCTTATTTGCCATAATTGATTTGTTACAAGGAGCGAAATTTTTTCTTGTGCACTCTATATGGCGTGTGGGGGGAAGATTTTTTCGAAAAATCTCAAATTGTAAAAAAAAAAATTTCATTTTGTTTTATTACATTCAGTTTTTTTCATGTTATTACTGCTCCATAAACTTTAAAAGGCAATGGGAACATTCAGGATTTAGCCCTGATACGAGCAGTTTTGTTCCGACTTTCGTTTCTAAAGTAACGGAATGTTTGTGCTCGGGGTGGGTTTTTTTTCTTCACACAAATTTCGACGTTTTAACTAGACATTTTTGACTGAAAATTTGTTATATCTTTCAAAAGGTATTGTTGTCCTGAGCGTAAATTTGAAAAGATATTTCACTTGTGATCATTTTTCGTCAAGTTATTGGGGTTGAAAGATTACCATTTTGGCCAATTTGGGACAATTAATGCTCGATTTATTTCGCGCTATTAAGCGTAAGCGAGATTTAATCCGTATTAAAAATCGTTCCAAATTGATTCAAGGAAGCTTATATTTCATAATTGATTTGCTAATAGGAGCAAAATACATCAGTTTGTACTTAATATGGCGTCTGGGGGGATTTTTTCACAAAAAATCTCAAATTTAAAAAAAAAAATTTAATTTTAGTTTCTTACATTTAAATTTTTCATGTATGCTGCTCCATAGACCTTAAAAGGCAGTCGAAACATTCAGGGCTTCGCCCTGATACAAGCAGTCTTGTTGATTTTCTTCAAGTTGTTCCAATTAACGAGGTGTTAAATTTTCATGTAAATTTTCATGGAAATTTTGTAGAGGCTAAGTGGGTGTTATATCGAACAAGCGGGTAATTAGAGCATATACGTTGAATTATTAACGTTAACGGAAATTTAATCAGGCTCAATCACTATTCCCAATTGAATTCAAGCCAGCTGTTTTCTCAATTTTATGTATTTCTGGATGCAGAAAACTTCTTATACTCTCCACAAAAAAAAACAGAAAAAAACTTCGCAAAAAAAAAGAAAAACTGGGAAAAAGTTAATTTTTGGATAGCTTTGTTAATAAAGTTTTGTTAATTTTTATCATGGAAAAACAGTTGATGGTTGTTAAATGGAAATCACGACAATAATGGCTCCGTTTCAATTCGAGCACTTTTGTTTCTGTAAACACTTACATAACCAATTATTTTTAAATTAGTTAGCTGCTTGCTGGAGTTTAGGTTTCAGCTATTTGAAGCTTTTCTTAATTAGTTTTTTTGTGGGGCTAATAGAACTTGATGCTCATAATTTTTTGTAAGCCAAGACTCATATAGTATTTCTACTCATCTGCTAGAAAAAAAATTCAAACGTTCACACAGAATTCATGTTCTGGGCTCGAGTGCACATGGTAGAGTTATTCATATGCTAAACGCATATTCGTTTTCAGACAATTTATTTGACAGTTTTGGACGGAAAAAAGAAAGAATCCTCACAGTTATTAATGGATAGCATTGACAGCAAAATAATTCATCTCAGAAACTATTCCCAGTTCAGTTGAGGCAATCCGATTGGTCCAGATCCAGATAAAGCATTACTCTATCTATAGTTTTTTTCTGAAAATTTTCATCATACTTCATCATTCAAATAAACTCACTACGATAAGAAACAAATGTGTTGCTTGACCCGAATCTTGAAACTTGCAGCAAGAATTATGATCAACCAAAGGAAATAAATTGCTGAATTTGTTAGCATGCACCGATTGAGATCTATTTTACTAATTCTTTTTTGATCGGAGTCTCGTTAAGTATTTACCCCATTTGCAAAAGCGGTAGAGTTTCGTTAATGAATGCAAAATTGGTTGAACTAGTCCATTATAAGGGTGGCAGTTCTTTACTAGGTACCAAAGGGGGAAATAGTTAAAAAGATCCAAATCTTGGCCATCGATAGAGATGAAGTTTTGGCCAGCATACTCTCTATACTAGAAATAAACTAGAAAGTATTACATTTTTAGACGGAATTTTTTTTCTGAAACGAAAACTAGTTTTATCAATAAAAAAGGAAACCCTCGGCTAATTTGAGGCAAAAAAATGAATTAGAAAAATGTAGTTGTGTTCACGTGCCTTTGCTCAAAGTCAAAACAATATGTCCCATGCTATTTCAATGGGGTTGAATGACCTTTTCTGTAGCCTTCAAAGAGTTTCTTTTTCACCCTTTTTCGTGTAAAAATCGGAGAAATTAACAAAATCCGACCCCTTTCAAAAAGTTGTCCCTGAAATCAAGGTTCATGTAATTTGTCAATGACCTTCCACTTTTGATCATTCATTTTTTCAATTTTTCAATTAAAATTGCGAGCTGTAAAACTGCCACTGTCACGCCTTGGTTGACGCCAAAATGCTCAGTGGGTATCGAGGTCCACTTTTCGATTTGATTGAAATTTTGCTTGCTCAGCTTGCTTTTGTTTGTTATAGTTGTTTCTTATCATAGCGGCAAATTTGGTAATATGGCTTCATAAAACTGGAACATTTCCTTGTAAGGCTATGTTTGCGCCATGGAAGAGATCTACCTGGAAATGGGTTTAACTCACCAACTTTTAACTATCTGCCCATGTCAAATTGAATTTCAAAGAAAATGGGCTTATATTGTGCGCACTTTCAGGGAATATGTTGTAATTTCCTGGAACAGAATTTTTCAAAGCTGATTTAAGGCTTTTTTTGCAAAAAAATTACTAACTTTGATCAAATATATTATCTTTTCGCAAATTTTTACGTATTGTTTGTGAAAATAAATTTTTGGGATTCTGATTCAAAAAAAGAGATTCTATAAATCTTTTGTTTGAATGGTGATTCATTACGCTAATTTTCCTGAAACTGTCACTGATAACAGGTTCTGAATTCATGAAACAGTCCCAAGGCGTTTGGCTTGAAACTGTGTAGACTGTGGTCAGATCCAGAGTAACGAATTTAGATTCATTTTAGCTTCTGTGCAGCTTGGAAACACTTGGTGCAAACTTAGATCGCAACTTGCTCTTTCACTTCTTTTTCCTTAGTCAGTAAATCTAGACCGACAGAAACTATCTCAAAATGTGTGACGACGAAGAAGTAGCTGCCTTGGTTGTGGACAATGGATCCGGAATGTGCAAGGCCGGTTTCGCCGGAGACGACGCACCCCGAGCTGTGTTCCCGTCCATCGTCGGACGACCCAGACATCAGGTATAAAAACAGCAGCAAAAATGAAAACATCATCAAAGCTTTAAAACCTTACAAAAATTTCAGTTGAACCTCATAGTCAACTTAACTTAATCAATTAGCGATTAAGCGCCGGCACAATCTAAACTAAGGAAAGGTAAACGATATCAAAGATCTGAAGAAAAAAAGTGTATGCTTTATAGATATATTGATAACTTAGGGACAACTAACTGTAATTTATTCAGGGTGTGATGGTGGGTATGGGTCAGAAAGACTCGTACGTAGGAGACGAGGCCCAGAGCAAGAGAGGAATCCTCTCCCTCAAGTACCCCATCGAGCACGGAATCGTGACCAACTGGGACGACATGGAGAAAATCTGGCATCACACCTTCTACAACGAACTCCGAGTGGCCCCCGAGGAACACCCGGTACTGTTGACTGAAGCACCTCTGAACCCTAAGGCCAACAGGGAAAAGATGACTCAGATCATGTTCGAGACATTCAACTCGCCAGCCATGTATGTCGCCATCCAGGCTGTGCTCTCCCTGTACGCCTCTGGACGAACCACCGGATGTGTGCTCGACTCTGGAGATGGTGTGACTCACACCGTACCCATCTACGAGGGATACGCACTCCCCCACGCCATCATCCGATTGGACTTGGCTGGACGAGATCTGACTGGTAAATATCATAAGAACTCATAACAAACAAGTTTTTGATTTTGTAGTTATCTTTATAACAAAATGCGATTGAAATCAGAAAAATTTATTAGTATTAATTAAATTGAACTTATCTAGAAATAATTAATGGAATTAGATGATAGGGTGATTTTTATTCTGCTAAGATCTGTTTTCAAGATCACGTTTTTGCTTGAAACTTGTCAACTTGCGAAAGAACTGTTTATTCAATTAAGTTGATTGTGTTTAGACTACTTGATGAAGATCCTGACAGAGAGAGGATACTCTTTCACCACCACTGCCGAGCGAGAAATCGTGCGAGACATCAAGGAGAAGCTGTGCTATGTGGCCCTGGACTTCGAACAGGAAATGGCCACCGCATCCGCCACCTCATCCCTCGAGAAGTCTTACGAACTTCCCGATGGACAGGTCATCACTATCGGTAACGAGCGATTCCGATGCCCTGAGACCATGTTCCAGCCCGCCTTCATCGGAATGGAAGCTAATGGCATCCACGAGACCACCTACAACACAATCATGAAGTGTGACGTCGATATCCGAAAGGACCTCTACGCCAACACCGTGTTGTCCGGAGGTACCACCATGTACCCTGGTATCGCCGACAGAATGCAGAAGGAAATCACCGCCCTCGCACCCTCGGCCATGAAGATCAAGATCATCGCTCCTCCCGAGAGGAAGTACTCTGTCTGGATCGGAGGATCCATCCTGGCTTCTCTCTCTACCTTCCAGCAGATGTGGATCTCCAAGCAAGAGTACGACGAGTCTGGACCCGCGATTGTGCACCGAAAGTGCTTCTAAGTGCACGGAGTGCAAGACGGAATGGTGTGGAAACTTTCGCACGGGAAAGAGAAAACTGAATCTGATTCCGAGAAAAAAAAACTAACTCAAAAGCTGCTTTTATCTATAAACTTTAAAGCATGCCTACTTAATTATTATTATGGTTATTTGGAAAAGGGATATTGTTATTTATTAAATAAAAATAATTAATTGCGGAGTTATTTTTGATAACAAATTGTTGTCACATGAGAAATGAAGAGTAGCAAGAATCGAACTTATAAATGGACCAAAATCTCCAGAGAAAAGCAATGAAAACTCAATGATCGGAAAAGTCTAAGTATTCAGCTCTAGTTGAAAAAGAATGAGTTTTTATCGCATTTTGAAGCCTTCCTCACTAAGTTCTATCGACCTTCATTTTTCATTGATGAATATGTAACAAACAAGACTGCTCGTATTTGGGCGAAGCCCTGAAAATTCCGACTGCCTTTTAAGGTTTATGGAGCATTAATAACATTTAAAAAATTTTAAAAAAAAATAAAATAAAATAAAATTAATTTTTTTTCCAAAATTTGGGATTTTTTTGTGAAAATCATTCTCCTACACGCCATATTAAGTACAAAGTGATAAATTGCACTCCTACCTTCCTTCAATCAACTTGGATTGATTTCTATGACTGATAAAATTCCCGCTTCCCGCGATTTTAAACCCCAGTAACTTTACGAAAAATGATCACGGGTGAAATGTCTTTCCGAATTTAAGCTCAAGACAACAACACTTTTTGAATGATATCAGAACATCTCGTCAAAAATGGCTAGTTAAAAACTCTCGTTACTTTCGTTACCAAAGTCGGAACAACAAGACTGCTCGTATATCAGGGCAAAGCCCTGAATGTTCCGACTGTCCCTTATTTCATATCGAATAGCTTTTGGCAAAAGAAGATATTGAAAACCTGTAAATATTGGACAATATCAAAGTGTGAAATTAGCTAGCCTCAATTCAATTTGCGTTACGCTCTTAGCTTTATGAATAATTTGGCAATTTTCAAAAACCGAGAACTACAAAAAATGATCGGAAGTAAATTATCTTTTTAAATTTGAGCTCAGGAAGTCGATATCTTCAATGCCAAATTGCCAAAAAAAGTTTGTTGAAAACAATTATTTCGACCGGCGAGACTTGACTGACTAAAAAAAATCACTCCGAGCATAAAAGTTCCGTTTTCTTCGAATGTCGGAACAATAACAAATCATGATACAAACTCATGGTGATACACCATGTAAAAACAGAGATACACCGCAATCATAAATTTCACGATGCCTACACGCAAAACTCAAAACCGCAGAACCTAATTTCAAGTTTCCAGCGCAATGGATCTATTTCATTCATTGCTTCGACATTCGTAACGAAAGCAACGGAATATTTGTGCTCAGGTGGTTTTTTTTCTTTAGACAATTTTCGTTTTTTTAACTAGCCATTTTGACCGAATTTTTGTATCATTCAAAAACAATTGTTGTTCTGAGCCTACATTTGAAACACCTATTGTTATTCGTAAAATTATGGGGGTGTAAAGATTGGCATTTTGGCCCATTTGGAACAATTAATGCGCGATATTTTTTGCGCTATTAACGCGAAAGCGGAAATTTAATCCGTCTTAGAAATCATTGCAAATTGGTCCAAGGTAGCTTATATGCCACAGCTTATTTGTTAATAGGAGCAAAATCTATCACTTTCCATTCAATATGGCGTGTGGCGGATGTTTTTACAAAAAATCTCAATATTTAAAAAGGTTTTAATTTAATTTTTTACATTTAAATTTTCAAGTTATTACTGCTCCCTAGAGTTTAAAAGGCAGTCGGAACATTCAGGGCTTTGCCCTGATACGAGCAGTCTGGTTGGCGTTTATTTTCAAACACAAAGCAGCTTAGCAGTTGAAAGCTCAGCGGCTCTACAATTGAACAAGATTCTCGCATGAAGGTGCAACCCTTTATATTTGGTACCGTTAAATCCGCCTGAAGTACCTTTTGGTGATAAAATCAGAAATCTTCCACCATAAAAAATAAATTTTAAAAACAAATGATTTTTTTTCTGAAAACAGCCCCGTTCCCCCAAATGCAATGTCAAGTAGAAAGTAATAATCGGCATTAACAAAAAAGAATAAATATTCCGTCCCATTCTTGTAAAGGTGAAAAAAAGAAAGAAAAAAAGGAAACTTATTGTTTTGTTTGTTTTCTGGCCGACAAGCTTTTTAAATCAGAATTTTTAGGAGATTTCGCGTATAGAAATTATATCAACTTATGCATGAGTTTTATCAATGGCTCATAGAACAGCAGGTTTCCAGTCGCTGAGCTTAAGTTGGTTTAAAAATGTCAAAAGTTTACTAGCTGTCTATTTATTCATTCGACTTTTAATTGATGAGTGTTGGGTCGATCCTCAAGATATTTGTGATTCCAGCACACCATTATACTAACCTGACTCTACTATAGCGCTGAAACGAGCCGATCTAATTTGCTCGTTTGATACTTAATTGCCGAAAGTATAAAGCGAAACAAAATATCCCGCGCTTTAAAATCATTTCAAACTGAATTGAGGCAAAATAATTGGCATTACTTACTTCATGATCGATTTGAGTTCTAAACCTTAACAAGACTGCTCGTTCCGACTGCCTTTTAAGGTTTATGGAGCAGTAATAACCTACAAAAAGTTAAATGTAGAAAAAATCATCCCCCACGCCATATAAAGTACAAGAGGACAAATTTCGCTCCTTGTAACAAATCAATTATGGCAAATAAGCTTCTTTCAACCAATTTATAATGATTTCTAAGACGGATTAAATCTCCGCTTACGAGTTAATAGCGCGAAATATATCGCGGATTAATTGTCCCAAATTGGCCAAAATGGCAATCTTTGAACCCCATAATTTTACAAAAAGTAATCACAGGTCGAATATCTTTTCAAATTTAAGCTCAGGACTACAATACTCTTTGATTGATATTAAAAAGTTCCGTCAGAAATGGCTAGTTAAAAAGTCGAATGTTGTCTGAAGAAAAAAACCCACCCCGAGCACAAATATTCCGTTACTTTCGTATCGAAGTCGGAACAATAATTGATATCATCTGCCCAAAATACGCTTTTGTAGATTTAGAAACCTATTTTGCAAAAGTAATTGGGCATTCAAAAATTCAATGTTGTGTTCGACAAATGAAATGATCTAGCCAATTTGAGATGCTATTTGAATTTTAAGCGGCAAATTGAACAGTTTCGAATTGAACGGAAACAAGCACTTGGCACTTATATACCTTACAAGGATAAAAAAAATTACTTCACTTTTTACATAATATGTAAGAAAATCAATTACTCCTTTCTGATTGGCTGAAAAACTGTGCTCCAGAAACCAGGCGGACTTTAAGCTGCTCTTGTTCTTGTCATTTTTCCTGCAATTTCAGCTGAGTTTCAGAAGATCACGATTAAACGTTCCAATTCTATTGTTTTTGTACGAACAGTTTATTTTATCATCATCGAACGAACGTAATTAAATTTTCAGTGTTTTTTGAAGCAGAACTGAAAATAAATATAGAGTTTTGAATACAGTGCTAGTTTGTATTAACCGAACAAAATGAATAAAAACTGGAAACTTGAACGCGTTTTCCTGAAACTGGGTTACGTTTAGAAAAAAAAATACATCTTATTTTCAAGAGAATGGTTATTGCTTCATTCAGTTTGCTAAAATTGCATCAAAATTTTGACGTAAAAAGCGTCATTTTTCACTGTGTTTAATCAATCAAAAATTACGCCACAAAACCGATCATTTGATGAGCACGTTATGTCAAAGTGAGTATCTTCTGCAGCTCAAAAAATTTTGAGCAGAGTATTAAATCTGATATTTTGACTAAATCATTATAATTTTGCGTTTTTTAGTTGAAGGAGAAAATTGACCCTTTTTCGGGCTAATTTTTGGGCGCAAATTTAGTTATTAAGTTGCACTATAATAGTTCTTTAACTTGAAAAAGTTTGGCAACCATCTTTTTTTGTTCCTAATTAACCCAGTTTAATAAAATGCATTTGAATGTTCTGATATTGATCTTTTTGCTCGGATAGTTTAATTCATTAGTGTAGCAAAAGAATAAAAGTGAGCCCTGGAAACTGTTTTCATAACATGTTATCTGTTCTATCAATTTTCTGCAGATTTTCGTTTTTTATTCTTCTAATAAAGTTTTGCCTGAACAATTAGCAGTTTTTAAAGCAAGACCTGACAAACAACCATATATACTTCAAGTACTTGCATCTTGTCACAAAATGGTCAATATGCTTAAGAAATTTAACTCAATTTGCTTTAAAATTGTTTTTTTTCTTGTTTTTCCTCCCTTTGTCAAAATTATTTCAAATTACTACTGTTTTGCTTTAAAATAAATGGCTTACATTTTGATAATAAACAAAATGTGTGATCAAAAATTTATTGAATGTCCAATTCTTAATTGAGACAACAAAAATCAGAAATACCAATAATCTCAAATGAGAATTGCAACAAATAGATCAATATGATATTACCTTTTTGTAGGTATAATTATATTTCGAAAATATCCCGCTAGATCTTGATAGACGAAAAAATGCACCGAGTATTTCAATAAAATTTCATTCGAAAGAGTGAACAATTTTGAGCACAAACTTGACTCGATGTGCTTGAGACGCATAATTTTTAATACCGTTAGTGGCTTCTATTCTGATCAATGAGTTTGATCAAAGGGTCTGTTCCATTGTCTTTGTATTGATGTGACATAGGTTCTGATATAAGTTAAATTTTGAAGAAATTAACTTGAAGACTATTTGATGCTTGGTGTGGTTTTCTATTTGTATTTTTTTTTGGTTTTTGGCGGTCAAAAATTAGCCTTTTATCAAAATTTTTAATAGCTTATTCAAGATATCGACTTCGTTTTTTCTAAAATTTTTAGGTCTTCAAAAAATTGCCAATTTCGCAATGCTCTGCATTAATTTAAGCGTACGCCCCCCCTCAGGAATTCGAACCCCTGCCAACCCAAAGGGTCCCCCCTTTGGTACTTTTTAAGAAATCTATTTTTGGCAGACCGACCCTAAAATTTTTCTAAAGGCGCCTTCGGCGCCAATATATACTAATTTTGAGGGGGAGCGCGCGCCAAAAAAACGCGTTTTTTTTGTCAAATTTTTCGAAAAAGTGCCCAAAAACGGCTTTTTTGACCTGTTTTTTCAAAAAATTGCCTGCGGCGCAGAAAATTTGACCAAAACAGGGTCTTTTTACTGCTTTGGGAGAGCTCTGAAAATCAATCTGATCGACCTAAAAAAAAAAGGTCGTCAAAATTTTCGAAAATTTTTTGAAAATCCGCCCCCCCTCAAGAAAATTTTAGATCCGTCCCTGTATATGCTTCGCATAAAAAATTGAGATGCACAGCTGTCTCAATTTTTTCGTTTTTTTTGTATCGAGACAAAATTGCTAAAAATTTTTGAGCTTTTATTAATTTCGAGCAAGTAAAACGAGCAAATAGGTTTATTTTGGAACAAAAGTTCATGTTTTAGTTTTATACCAAAAAAAGTTCTTTCAATTTTTTAGCATACTTTTGAGAACAAAACTTTCAATACAATGCAAAAATATCTGCAAAAATTTTCTTAAAAAAACACAGATATTTTTTTGTTTTTCAGGTCTTTTTTTTGCCTAATTTGGCTGTTTAATTATGATTGTCAAAATTTTCCCAGTTCTGGGCTTTCGTCAGATTTTTTTAACACACCACGCACAAGAAAAACAACGCGAATTTGAAAAAGGGAAAAAATTATGTGTTTTTAGGAGTATGTTGTATGTTCGGATAATTCTGTGCTACTTGCACAACAACCGGTTATCCTTGTTAAATATTGTTTAAATACTCATGAAAATCTCTGAATGATTTTAATGCCAATTAGTTGGTTTTAAATGATATCAATTCATTTTGGAACGTTTTTTAGTGCGGAATAATTCATCATGTGTAAATACTTCGAGTTAATTTTTCAGCATCGAAGTATAAAACTATCAGTTTAGTTAGACTGATTTTAAATTAAACAGCTAGTCACTCTAATGAAGTGGTAAAAAAAGTGTTGTGCTCGCATAGCAGGACCAACGTAGGCCCAGCAAGAGAGTTCCATATGAACCACAAATAGTCTGAACAAAACAAACAAACCAAGCAAATATATATTCCTCGCCTGCTTCAAAATTTGGAATAAAAGAAATTGAAGAGCAAATATCAAAGGTCTATAAGGGCGGAAGTTGAAACGAACTAGAGGTTACAAACAGATTTTAAACGTGTCTGCAGCAACTTTGCAGTTTGAAACCGGTCTAAATATTGGGGCCAAATAGGCACCCAATCGCTAAGATAAATTCCCGGAACAAAAATTTGTTGGTACTGTTGTACTGTGCAACTAGCTGTTTAATCGAGAAGCAATACCTTGTGCGGACTTCCTCGCAGTAGAGTACCCTAATTAACAGAACCATCATCAGTCTAGACGCGGAAAACAGTCTATTAATTAAAAGGGGAATAAAAAAATGAAATTTCAGGGAAAAAAACCTCAGCTTTTGGTAATTATATCGACAATGCTTCATAGTTTTTTTTATAACCTTTCACTTTTGTTCATAGAATTTTATGGCTACATTTTAGCTGCAAACAGATCTAAGAAGACTATCTGAGCTTTTAAACGTGTCTGCAGCAATTTTGCAGTTTGAAACCGGTCTAAAAATTGGGGCCAAATAAATTGTCAAACAAGGCACCCAATCGCTCAGATAAACTCCCGGAGCAAAAATTTGTTGTTACTTTTGTATTGTGCAACTAGCTGCTTAATCGAGAAGCAATACGTTGTGTGGACTTCCTTGCAGTGTAGTACCCTAACTAACAGAACCATCAGCAATCTAGACGCGGAAAACAGTCTAATAATTAAAAAAAGACTAAGAAATGAAAATTCAAGGAAAAAATTCAATTTTTGGTAATTAGATCGAAAATGCTTCATAGTTTTTTATAACCTTTCACTTTTGTTCATAGAATTTTATGGCTACATTTTAGCTGCAAACAGATCTAAGAAGACTATCTGAGCTTTTAAACGTGTCTGCAGCAATTTTGCAGTTTGAAACCGGTCTAAAAATTGGGGCCAAATAAATTGTCAAACAAGGCACCCAATCGCTCAGATAAACTCCCGGAGCAAAAATTTGTTGGTACTTTTGTATTGTGCAACTAGCTGCTTAATCGAGAAGCAATACGTTGTGTGGACTTCCTTGCAGTGTAGTACCCTAACTAACAGAACCATCAGCAATCTAGACGCGGAAAACAGTCTAATAATTAAAAAAAGAATAAGAAATGAAAATTCAAGGAAAAAATTCAATTTTTGGTAATTAGATCGAAAATGCTTCATAGTTTTTTATACCCTTTCACTTTTGTTGATAGAATTTTTTGGCTACATTTTAGCTGCAAGACAGATTTAAGAAGACTATCCGAGCTCGATTTCGTATTGTGCCGATATCGTTTCGTCACTAGAAACGCGCTTCGTATGAAAAACAGCATATACGGCGCCCATTAAATTTTTTATACCATCAGAAATGTTTTGTCTTGAGCTCAAATTTAAGAAGGCATTTCATCTGTGATTTTTTTTGAAGCTATGAGAATTTATAAATCGCAAAATTGGCCATTTTGGGATAATTTTGGGAGATTTTTTCGTGAAAATGTAACGCGTAAGTGAATTTTTAATAAATCGTAGAAATGGTTCAAATTAAATTGATGAATGCTATTCTATTGAATATTGTTCCGACTTTTGAAGAAAGTATGGAATATATATGCACTGGACGGTTTTTCATTCAAACCAAGTCTGAAAAACATTTCTTTCGGTGGATGGATCCATAGATCTTCATGGTCACAGAAGGGTCGCGCTCTCCACTAGCTATAAGTGCTGAAAGTTTAACGCGAATTATCCCGCAACACAAAATCGTTCCAAGTGCAATTGAGTCAGGCTAGTTATTCTTATTAGTTCCATACACGATGCCTAACAATCAGCTTAAAATTCTTAGTTTGCCAATTTTTCATCAACCAAAATTATTCGAGGCCATTACATGGACAGTCAGAACACCCAGGGTGTTGCCCTGATACGAGCACTCTTGTTTTATTATATGCGAAGCATCTCTTTGTACTTTGCATAGCGTGCGAGGTGATGGTTTTAGAGCAAAAAATCTCAAAGAAATTTTGATGAAGCGTTTTATTGACTAGCTAGTATATTTCATTTAGCTTAAATTTCATTTAGATTAAAGTGAAGAGGCGTTTTATTGATTTGCTGGTATATTTCTTTCAAATTGAATAAAACATCCCAAAACTCATATTTAGACAAAACAAAACAGAAGAGGATTTAGAAAGTTCTGTAACCTTAACCCTTTCCTCCTCACAGGTATTCGACACCCTCGGTGCTAAAAATATTACATTTAATATTATTTCGCAGCACTCACTTTTTGTTAACTAACATTAAAGATTTTCTAAAGGCATTTTTTAGCACCAATAAAAACTAAGTTTTGTCAATATTTTTCAAAAGCTTCCCCAAAGCGGACTTTTTGAATCAATAACGTTCTTATGGCTTTTCGGGAAACCCATTAATATATTTGTTTGATTTAACAAAAGTGCGATAAAATTTTTGAAACGCTGCCTTCCTCTGGAGAATTTTAACTCCGCCTCTGAATTCCAATCCGACAAAAATTATTAGAGCTGCGATACTGGCTTTTTTTCTTTTTCTAAGGTTTTAAAATCAAACTTGAATTTTTTGTTTTCAATACACGTATAAAAGCAACATACATAATATATAAATCATTTCTATAATTTATTAATTTATGTACAATAAATTATTTTATTTCATTATCAATAATTTATTACCCTATTTATTATCAACAATCAAGCTTCATTTGAGGTTTCATTCGATACTTCAAGACCTGAATCTAATTTTATGCACACGTTATTTGGCTTATTTTGAGACTCTGTATTTTCATTGATTGAATCATCTACAATCTGATTGGCTAGAGTATCCGGTACTCCATCTGGATTGGCTAAAACGGTTACCTCTGTTTGATCCATGCCAATTTTATTGGCGGCACAGTTATCTGCATGCTGATTGGCTAGTTGGATATCGAATGTGAACGAATGAGTTTCGTTGCAGTTTTCGGCTAGTTTGGATTCCTGTTCCTTTCGGTTGTTTGGACGAGCCAGCTTTAGCGTCGAAGAAGATGCATGTCTACTCAGCCAAGTGGGTTTAAAGGTCAGAAAAGGGCAGTCAAAGCGGGTAATTTCACCCAAATTTTCTTCGTTCATCGGTTCCGACTCGGCTGTTCCTTGGTCAAGAGTGTGTTCATGTGAAACGTCCAGAGATAATGAATCAGACCTGCTGCGAAAATTTCGTAATAATTGCACGACATGCTTTGCGATCAAAAACAAACCCAGTAAACAAGCACAAACTATCAAAAATATTGTGTTCCAGTTGCTCTTGCCGAAACGAATCCAAGAGAACGCGAGAAGAGTTATCAGCATCACTACCGAACTCAGAATCACGAAGCTCACAGCTCGGTAGTGACAGTTCTGTGAAATGCGACTAGGCGCATAACTGAAATAAATATTATAGCGGTCAACAAAATGCCGAACAAACATGTAAATAACACCAAAGGGGGTAATTAACGGGCACAAAATACTGTATGCAATAACAGTAGTCATTACTGTAAGTTGGTACGCATACATGAAACCATAAGGGAACTCAAGCAAGGTACTTTTGATTGCGGGCTTCCGTTCCGCTTTTGATTTCATCATGAGGAGTCGACATCCATACAGAACGAGGTCCGTGACTCTCATCAGTTCCATGCAAAGACCTCCAAGACCGGCAGTTATGACGTAATTAGTGAAGAAGGCGCCATTGTCGATTAGAAACATGCAGTCCCATCGCACTTTTTCGCTCTTCAAGACGACGCTGTCGATGAACTTGTAGATGCTAGTGAGACCGATCGAGGGCAGAATGACGACCATGAACAGTAAGTAGATGTAGGTTTTGGTCATGACTCGAAGGTTGAGAGTGGATAACTTCCAGTGGGACCTGAGGTCGTCCAGGAGGAAGATGAGGTAGGGCATGAACACTGCCACACTCACGAACAGGAACGGGGGGATCATGAATCCGAGCAACGAAGACTTCCTAAAACAAAAAACAAAGACAAACTTTTAGTGCGGCACAATTTTGTAGAACAGTCAAATAAAACTATAGATGAGTTCATAAGACCACATTTACTTCTGGCAGTTTTCATCAAATTTATCTGTTTAAACCATAGATTAGACAATCAACAAAAATATATTACAAAAATAGAGATGACTTAATCACTTACTCAATGGCCTTGTCTTGAATGCCAGCCGTGCTCCTGTCGAAAGTCTCGAACCAGGCCAGCAAAACAGCTGGAGTGGACACGAAAATAAACAGAATGACGTACAAGAAGTTCACCAGACACCCCCTCAGAAATGAAGTGGGTCCGATGTTCTGCAGATTCTCCCAGATGATATCCTTCTTGGGGGGAGATAGTTTGACGTTCCAGAATTCAGCACCCAGGTCTTGTTGGGGGTGTTTTTTGAAGTTGCGGTTGCTGCTGAGTTTGAAGTCCTCGACCAGACGTTTGGCGATTTGGAAAGATGGCAAAACTACGAAAGCTATTCCTTAAAACAAAACAAACTATTACAATTACATCTGTTGGGAACAGTGGCATGTTTGAGAGGACAAACAAGATTCTTACCCCATACACCCCGAATTTTACCCTTACCAGTCAGCTTCCAACAACTTCGCCACCCAAAAGATAGATTATGACCCTTTGGCACAGCGTTACACGTCCCATTGTTGGCCACGAAAACTATTTCTTAGCCCAATTTTGAACTTATTGTTGAACATTTTAGAACTTAATTATATTGAATCTGAGAGAAAAATGCAGGTAATTTTTAGGACCATTTATGCACGAGGGAAAGGACCAACATAAAAAACTGTACAGCTCATCACGGCGAACCGCTGTTGTGCCCTGCTTAGGAACTGCATGCAATTTTAGTTGATGAAAGATCTTGAACAAAAGTTACTTTCCGTCCACATCAGATGACTAATATGATAATTATGACAGTTGCGGAAAATTGTTCTGAGAAGTTAGGTATAAAAATATTTGTTCAAATTGTCGTTATGACAAAGCTGATGGCTCAAGAGCTGTTTTAATTGAGGCGGCACTGTTGTTTGACCCTACCGAGTGGTTTGCTCTTGAGACTCTTGCGCTCCCTGTCCACTTTGTGCTGCAGTTTCTCCACCCTCTTCTGGTAGTATTCCTGGGCATCCACTCGACTACTGGACCCACACAGACACCAGGAGGGCAAGAGGCAGCTGGCAAGCACTCCAAAAACACGCGGAACCATACGCAGTCTGTCACAAACATGTTGTACATTTAAGCAAAAACATTGAACTTGATACATTTAGTTAAAATACGGACAAACAGTTAGGTTGGGTTGAACTTCAAAATATGTGGAAAAAATAACAATACTGACTGATAAATAAGCTCAAAATAGCTGATTAAAATTTTTTGGTTACTTTTGAGTCTTTTTTGCATCATGGCATGTTTTGATCTGCAATCCGCCTTCAGTATCAGACATATTGAGAAGCTGCAACACATCCCTCTTGATGAAGCAAAAAACTACAATTGTCTACCAAAATATGTTACATTATCCATATAATAAGACCGATATATAAGCATTGTCAGATTAGGATGAGAAAATTCTGCATAAACATGTTAAGTAGCATGCATACCTTTCAGATTTGTTGCTGTTGTACTGCTCACAATACTCCAAAGCCAGAGATAAATATTCCAGTTTTTTCAGATACTTGGCCATCTTCTGCACGTTGTAGGCCATCGTGACCTCTATTCTGACCTCGGGGTAAACAGAGTTCAAGTAACTTTGAACATCTTCAGACGTCACAGCCGCATGGTTTGATTTCTGCACGTTGATATTCGTGATCATGACGGCGTTGGTTTTGAACTGGGATTTGAAGGGCATGTTGGCAGTGAAATGTCTCATAGATGTAATAATGACGATTATGTAGAGAACACAGAAAGCACTGGGGATGAATAGGAGAAATGAGTTGTCGCTCAGATTCGAGATTGTCGTGAAAGCGAGAGGGTCAGCTCGGTTGTCGAGATTGTTTCCGAGGAGATTAGTCGGCAGCATAACTATCAGTGAGATAGGGCATATTGTACACACAACTCTGCAATCAAACAAAAACGATTATAAATGACATTCTCATACACTAACCCCTTTTACAAATTTGAGTTATAAGGCATTTGGTGAAAATTTTGAATAAACTAATCTGTGCAAAACATTAATCTGTGTCACATATTTTTGTTTCGACTTTCAAAATGAGTGAGGAATACATAGTGCCTGAGGTGGTTTTTTCTTACTTCAAACGGGTTTTACAAAAATTGACAGCGTATGGGTATCGATCCTGAAATATTTGGATTGCTATGAGCGAGTATGTTTACACTAGACTAAAATTATTTAAAAGGCAAAGTATCTGCACTCATAATAGTTTCAAATTGAACTGAGGCTAGCTATGATTGGTCTTTTTAATTTTACTCAAATGTTGGCACTTTTATTTGATATTGGCTGTACATAATTTAAAATTTATCAAAAAGTTTTGAACAAAATTATTTGAGACCCGTTAAGGGGCAGTCGGAACATAAAGGTTTTGCCCAGATATACGAGCAGTTTTGTTTAGTAGTAGGGCGGCAAAATGATAAAAACAAGTCCATTGCTGTTTATCAACAAGGCATTGAAGACAACCATAGAAAAACTGTTGTGATAATTGAATATGACCGGAAATTTCCGGTATATGTTTGAGAATTGTCAACGAATCGTTTTTGTAGCACTTACTGTATCGCCTTTGGCACTCTTTTAATTCATTTTTTAGCTTTAAAAAAAGCGACAAAAAGATGCACTCGTGTTAGTTTTTTTTCTACAGGAAAAAAACACAATCTCTTAACTAGAAATATTTGGCAATTTTTTCAAAAGCTCTTAAACAAAAATTAGCGCTGAGCTAAGAATTGAAAACGTACTTCACCTCTGATGACTTTTTGTCAAATTTTGTTTCAGACACCTTCAGGGACTGTCGGAATATTCAAGTTGTTTTCCTGACATAAACAGTTTTATGACTTTCTAACGCGAGAAAAAAACAGCTCATTGGCTTTTTTGAATTGAGGTTCTTTGCGTGGTATAATGAAAGGAAATAGCTAAAATCTAAAAAAAAGAAATATTTCATTAGGCATATATGACCACAGTTTTTTTTAATGGAGTAAAGTTTTCTCTGTAAAAGAACAAAATAATAATTTAAAACTTTTCTAGGATATTTTGATTTTTGGCTTAAAGTTTTCTGAGCCTAGACAGCAAGTTTTTTCTTTAATGAACGTTGCATGAAAATTTGTTCTTTGCTCGCTCAGGTTGGAATAAAAAGCAAAAATTTTAAACCGGTTTTTTCTGTAGACTGAGAAAATTTTTAAAACTTTTCTAAATGTCGTTCGAGCGACGACTAAATTTCGAACTACGACTGATTTTAAATATTAGTTAAGAACATTTATCCACGAGGGAAAGGACCAACATACGAGCGGTACAGCTCATCACGGCGAACCACTGTTGTGCCCCTGCTTAAGAACTACATGCAACTTTTTTGGTTATTTTTCTGGACTGGGTATTGTTGCCTCACCCTCAAGCAATGAGCACGAATCATGTGGGCCTCGATCATCCGACGTTTCGATTGAGACGTGGAGACGTATCAGAGGAAAATAACTTTTGATTATGGAGTGAGGGAAGTTTTGTGGAAAAGATAGCAAAAACCCGACGAATTAAAAGCTTCATTCATGCCACTTAAAGGAAGACTAATTTTTGAAGCCTGATAACATGTTTCCTTTCGTTTTAAAAATTTTGGAGGCTCCCAAAAAGTAATCACTTTATTACATTATTCTGGCAGGAAGTTAATTCTTCCGCAGCTAGCATAGTTTTTCCCTCTCAGACTGGAGCTAATTTGGATTTTAATATAAAACATTATCAGCCCGGCTGAGTAGTCGATTGAGGACCGGAAGTGGCTCAACTGTTTTTAAAAAGTGAATAATTTATCTTGGAAATGTAAAAACCACTGAGCTGTGGAAGCATCAGGGGTGCAATCTAAAACTGCATTCGTTTGTCGCACCTCCGTAAAAGTTCACTAAATAGCGGAGCACGACGTTTTATAACGATTACTCCTTGCAACAATATAATAAAATAAAATTATTGGTATAACATAAAACTTGAACATCAAGATGAAAATAAAAAGATGTTTACCCGATACCTTGAAATAAAATTCAGTTATAATAAAAACTGCTTTAATCAGTGGAAATTACCGTGCTAGGTTAACTAAATTGACTAAAACTAAGCAAACAAACGGTAGTTTGCCAAACATTTTTATCGAGCGGAAAACTTCTTGCTCGCAAAAAAACTTGTCCTGGCCGGATTCAAAACCCCTTCCCTGTGTGCCATATGTGGAGGACAAAGCGCTGACTTTGATTATTTATAAACCGAAACTAATGTTTAAACATGAATCTTAAAAATTGCAAAAAAAAATTTTTTTTCCACTTGGCTATAAAAACAGATTATATACCTTGGTTCAAAAAAAATGGCAGCGGCAATATTTTTGAAAAATGCGTATAGCTCGAAAGCGGCAAATTTTGGCAAAATGTGGCAAAAATAAAAAAGAAAGAAGTTGAACAGACTTTGTCGCCGTGTGAATCAATTGACAGGTACTTAGCTAATGAAAATGCTACACATCATTCTTCAACACAAAATTTTGAAATGCAAGCGAAACGCGATTTACTTGAATTTCTCTATGTCAACGACTCCAAACAACGTGAATATCTGTCGAAACGGGTGAAAATGCCACCGCGTAGTTTCCGACGTAACATGAAAATCTTGGAAGAAAAGGGAACCTTGGAAAGAAAGAAAGGAAGCGGCCGACCTCTCCAAATTTCTGGCAATGAGAAAAAACGCTTATGTCAAATTGCGCTTAAATCTCCGTCGGCATCAACTCAAAATGTCTGTGATCGTTATAACGAGTTAGCTAGGACATCCGTCAGTAAATCCACAGTTTTCCGAACTCTGAAATCGTCCGGCGTGCAGAAAAAGACTGCAAAAATCATCCCGAATATCACACCGGTCCATGAGCAAAAAAGAATCGAATTTTGCAGAACATGGAAGAACTTCAATTTCGGAGAAACCTGGCTTTCTGACGAGTGCATGTTCCAACTTCATCGGAATAAAATCAAGCTTTGGAGTTCTTATCGAAAAACGCCGCGAAAAGGTTTCCCGAAGTTTTCACCCAAATTTATGGTCCGGGGAGCAATATCGAGTAAAGGTTTTTACATGAAAATCATCGAAAGAGGTACAATTGATAGTTCCAAGTACTGCGAAATTGTTGGTGACTTTATTCCTTACGCCACTGCATTATTTCCCGATGGCTGGATACTAGAGCAGGACGGCGCCACACCCCATAATTTCCGACAAACTAAAGATTTTTTTGCCGAAAATTCGGTACAATTTTTGCAGTGGCCACCCAATTCTCCAGACATTAATCCAGTGGAAAATGTGTGGATGATGCTTAAATCCTTTGTTGAGAAGAAAAATCCGAAAACAAAAGACGAACTAATTCAGTATGTTCAAGAATCTCAACATGTAATTTTGCCAGCGGTAAGAAAAAATTTGATGGGTTCTATCCCGACGCGTTTGGGCCAGTGTCTTGAAAACGAAGGAAAATTTGTGGAGAAATGGACTGGGACTGAATAGGCAAGACAAAGACGCAACAGACTCATATTTTCTTATATTATTTTGTTTGCTCAATGCTTAGAAAAATCTATTATTTCAGCGGCCACTTTTTTTGAACCAAGGTATACTAGCGCAAAATTAAAAAAAAAACTCGTCGTCAAAACAAATCAACAAAGAGGCACAAAAGTTTTTCAAAAAAGCTTGTTCTGATTCCCTGCTTTTATATGGTAAAAAAATTACTCGAACTAAAAAAGCAGGCAAATTTTACAATCACTAAGAACAATCAAATTTAAAGTTTTCAGTCATTTTGAAAAAAAAAAACAGGATAGCCGGTTATTGTGCAAGAATGTACCGAACAAGGTCTTGAAAATACAACACGGTCTTAAAAAGACATTTTTTTCAAACTAGTGTGGTTTTTTGACAATTTTGTTGAAAAATGACAAAAAAAAACAAAAAAAATCAACAAAAAAATATCAACATTTTTTTTTCATTTTAAAAAATTTTTTTTTGAATTTTCGAAGTTCTAAAATTTTTGATTCCAAAAAAGCGCTTACATACTCAAAAAAAATTAACTTTATTCGAGTAAAACTAAGTTTTTACGTTTAAAATTAAGCTATTGTAAGCTTTTAAGCCATTAAAATGAGCGATTGTAAAACTGCTCGCTTGCTCTTTTCGCTCAAATAAAGAAAAAAAATCAAAAATTTCTAACCGGTTTTTCTGGACACTGGGAAAAACAATTTTTGAAATTTTTAAACTTAGTTCAAATTAAGGGCTTTAAGATGATATATCATTCAATTCTCTCTGATAATTTTTTGTGGTGGCTGATTTTGCGTGGAAAACAAAAAAAAAACAGAAAAAAAACTAAAACACCCTATACAAAGTTCCTCCCCATTTTTCAAGATTAGTTTGAAAACTTTCTCATGATTTTTCAGCATGGTCAACATTCAGAGTTAGTAAAAAAGTATAATTTAATTCGAAGAAATGCTGGCTTAAGTTTGGAATAAAAAAAACTAAAGAGCGTCCGTTATAGAGCATTGAAGTTACTCTCACCCTATCAAATATCTTTGGAATGTGAGATATTGCACGGCATCTGGACCCACCCTCTCTCTGTACTGCGCATCTGAGAGCCGAATGGTCACCATGATCCACGAGAAGAACCCGTCGTCCTGTCTCCGAGGACTCTCGAGACGAAGTAGTCGGGACGACCTGTGAGCGAGAATAGAGGCTGCAGACCGCTTCCGTTTCGGCCGAAGCAGTTTGTCCGGTTGTTTTTGTTGGTCTTTATCCGAAATTGCTACTGTTGGTGAAAAAGTTATCTCCCGTGATTCCCTGTTGTTTGTTTTCAACGATATTTTTTGATCATTGTTATTATTGATATTATTGTTTGCTTCCGAAATCTTCTCCATTGGGGCAGGTTGTGATGAGGTATCTTGCATATTTTGATTCTAAAAGCAACAAAATGTTAGAAAAAAAACGACTAAATTTGAAAAACTTCTAACAAATGGATAATAAGAACTCAAAAAATCAAAAACAATTTGCTTAAAGCATTACGATAACTTCAGGAAATCTCTTACATATTTGGAAGAAGTCGGATCAATTTCTTCTATGTCATCCGCATCAACACTTCGAAACATCATATCCTCTCTGGAAGCTTTGAAGCCGGACTTCCGACACTTGTGTCGGGACTCTTCAGATGGCGATCTTGTGTGCTTCGCGACGCCATTAACCTTCCCCGGTGAAGCATCATTTGCGGCCTCCACTTTCTTTCCAGAAGCCTTGCTGGCCAAGTCATCGCGTGGGCTCTCTAGGTTTCCTTTGATAACACCAGGTGAAACATCGTTAGAATTCCGAGATTTGATATCAGGCGAAGAGTGAAAGTCGCCAAGGCTAACACGGTCGTCCCAAAATAGTTCGTTCCACGTGTCGTGATTGAGAGCGAGTCGTGCGTAGTCGCCGGCTCGACGACGGAGCAACGAGAATACAACAATGAGGAGCGCGGCCCCTGAGACATTGAGGATAAAGGCCTGCGGAATGCCTCCCAGCTTGGCGTGATGAAACTGAGTATAACTCCGGTTAAGTGTGTCACACACCGTTTTGTTCTCTAAAAAGCATTTCAAAATTAAACTGCTGTCTGACATGTTCCAAATTAACAAGGATAGCCGGATAGCATGTTCCGACCATAATTTAGAAAAATACAATTTTTTTCCAAGTATCATTTCTTTTCTGCGTGCTGTGATAAAAGGATCTGAACAAAAAACTTGATCTTAGGAATATTCGGCAGTCATAGTTAAATAGGCAAAAACTGTAGAAAAATTACAAAGAAAACAAAAAAATATCATTAAAAAAATTCAAAAATTTTTCAAAAAAATCCAAAAACAACTTTACTTGAGTAAAATTAAGTGTTCACTGCCTAAATCAGGCATATATGTGCTAGTGCAAGCCTGCTCACTTGCACTATTTGATCGAATTTCGAATAAAAATCAAAAACTTTAAACCTGTTTTTCTCAATACTGAGAAAATTTTTTGGAAATTTTAAATATCGTTCGAATCACGACTGAAAGGGGCTTTATTATGATTTGTAACTGGAACCATTTCTATAATGATGTGTGGTATTTGATTTTGCATGGATAAAAAAAAAGAAAAAGAAAAAAAAAGAAAAAGTTTCTCCCAATTTTTCGGAAAGAAAATGATCGGAACGAAAATGATCGTAACGAAAATGAAAGCAGAAGAGCTAAACTGCCAGCTTCACAAAAAAATGGGCTCCTTTTCATTAAATTTCCAAACTACGTTTTTTATTTTTGGATCTTTTTGTCAGTTAAACGCAAGTTACACTAATTTTGAAGGGAGTGCGCGACAAAAAACGGTAATTTTGACCTGTTTTTGATTAAATTTGGTTGCGGCACTAACATTTTGGTCAAAATGGTGTCTTTATAGGGTTTTAGAAGCGCTCAATGAATCATTTTTGTCGCAGAAAAATCCTCACTTTCAGAAAAATCCTCACTTTTTAACTTGCATTTGTTGACGCTTTTTAAAAACCAAACCAGCTTGAGCAATTTGTTAATGTAGGAACTTCTGTGTTTTGTCTGCAATCTGTTATCAAAAAGTCATGGTGGTTTGAAAAACGACAGTTTGGTTAAATTAGGATAATTCACTCGCGATGGATTTGTTCTTTTAATTTGTAGATGGCAAATCAAATCGACAAAAAAAATTAATCAAAAAAATGGAAAAGCGTTTTAGTCTAAATTAACGTTGACAGCTGCAAATTATAGCACTAAGCATTTTAAGGAGCGTCTTAAAAGAGAGTTTCAACAAGAGAAGACAAGATAATAGAGGTTTTTTTGTTTAAAAAATTGGTTTTCTGGTTAATTTTTCTTTTCAAATTTCCTTTTCAAAACTAGTTTGGAGACCTTGGAGGGCAGTCAAAACTTTTTGAGCTTTGCTTTGACATGATCAGTTTTATCAACCATGGCATTAAAAATTAACAAGTGAGTACGGTATACACTTTAGCAACCTTAATTAGGAACCAATATTTCTAAAGTTATGATTAAAAAATCGGGAACTTTTTCACATTGAAAATTTTTTTGATTTTTGAGCGCTCAAAGCTACCAAAACACACTCTTTTACAAAAATTTTTGAGATGACACTGACACATAATATTTGCAAGTGCCAAAAACATCGTTTTCTGAACTTTTTCGGAGGTTTTGACCAAAACTCAATTTTCTGAACGCATAGATTTTTCTCGAAGTAAAAACATAGTGAAGCGCGGAGAATTTTTTTATGGTGTTTGGTTCATCATTGGTTTAACGCCAAAACGGATTTGAATTTAGAAAAGTGTGACCAATCGTGTAGATCAAAAATTTCCATTTTAAAAAGCTGGAATAGTTTGGCTTAACTGATTCTTCACACTTTTTTTATTTTACATTTTTGGCGTTGCAACCACAGTGTTTAAAACAACTGATTAAGTTTTCTCCCGTGGACTGATTTATTTTGATTTCGAGAGAAGAGCAAGCGGTAAAAGAAAACATATTTTTTGGCTAAGACCCTCAAAAAAGTGCTTTGCAACTTGCAAAAAAAAACATGCTATGCAGAAAAGTTTAATTAGATTAGATAATCGAAATTTGTGCGACATAAAAAACTGGATGTAGTTTTTGATGACCATAGCAAAATTTTGAGGTTGATCATTCAGGCTGCTGAAGCATAAGCACTGTTTATCCGTTAGTCTATAAGACGATAGTAATCAAATGAACAAGTCATCGATCTATGTTAATTTAAACTACAGAGCTTATCTAAATTCATTTTGGAGTCGGGTTAATATGGCATGCCGCCTACGCGTTAATAGAATTTAAAAAATGTCGCGCGTCAATTATATCCCAAAGTGCCACTTTAAGAACCCCTCAAATTAGCGCTGAATATATCCAAAATTGAGAAAATTGCCACCTTTTAGAACCCTTTATATCAAGTGTACATTAGGGCTGAAGGTGCGCTCAAAAAATATCCGAGTTTGGTCAAGCTTAAATTGGTGCCGTAAGCTGTGCCAAAGAGGGGACCCTCGTGGTCTGGTGATACTGAATGAAACCCAGCCAATAGCTCAATATTCTCACATGTAACTAGTTAATTTGCATCGTTCGGCCGCTATCCTTCAAGCAGTAATGCACTCGCCGACACGATTAACGATGGATAACTTTGAATTAGCTTTAGTGGAGACTGACTAAAAATACATAGGATCTACTTCTGAGTTTCAATTTTCCGTCGTTATTTACTTTTCAAAGGGGGACCCTGTGCAAAAAAATAGGGAACCAGCAGAATTGAGTCGGTTGGGGGTGGGATTCTTGCCCTTCACACTTGGTAATATTCTGCTTTATAGGAGTGTGAATTGTTCTGTAGTTGCATAGGGGGTGAGTTATTCTTAACCAGATCCTTACCTTGAGCAGGAGAAACGGGCATGTTGAGCGGATTCAACATTTCCATTCCGTCTAGCATTCGGTCTCTTCCGTCCGTAACTCACAACAATAAGTTTGACAGCACAAACGATACCCACAATCCAAACTAACAACGCCAACAAAATCGGCTATTTCTGCACAACGTTTTTACAACGCCCACCGCAACTGCTCTGATAATTGCAACCATTTTCAGAAACAAATACCTAAAGTAAATCGGCACTAAATACTTGAGTTTCGCTACGGCGCTGTTACAAAGTTAATCTCTCAAATAAGCAATTCGATATCCCCGGCGAACAAGTTGCTTGGTTCTACTTTTGTAGAATCAACTTTTTATTTTCTGTATCGATTTTCATCAAGGAAAAGTTCGTTTTTTGAAGAAAAGAAGTTAAAAGGTTGTAAAAGTCGATTTCTTTGACCCGTTTTTACACCTTTTCTTTGAGTGCAAAATGTGCATTTGAATTACTTCCGCTAAACCATCGCAGTATAATTTCAGATAAGGCTTTCTTTGGAAGAAACTTTTTGTTCAATTTTATAAAAGTAACCTTTTTCCATTTTTTGCAGTCAAAACATGAATGGCAAAAATCGGGCAAAATATTCAGGAAGCGTAAAGATATGGTTGAAATGGCACGTATATAAAGAATGTAATATACTTGGGCTTTCTCTATTTCCCTTGGTGGGCGAAAAGGTATGTCGCATTAATACGGTCTGTATTTCGCTGCATTATCCTTCCATATTTTCCGATATTTTCGGCCGTCTTTGTAAAAGCAACCTACGTTAGTGTAACTGAAAGAGTAATGGGCGAAAAATTTCACGTGTTGGTAATGAAAGGGTAGTGTTATTTTGCTCAACACAAGTTGAATATTTCTGGGTTGGTAGGAGGTGAATTTCTTTCATTCTTTTGGGACACATTCAGCCAGAGTGTAGTTTGCATTAGTGTTCGTTGCTGCAATCGCAAAATTACCAGCCAGACAAGTTTTTGTTTCCAACTTAGGGTTTGGTTTGGCCCTCTGTATCTGAAAAAAAAAATTAACTACTTGATTTTTTCATAACTTGTAAAACCAAAATCAATTTTAATATCAGGAGTCTGAAAGTCTAACTTCGGGTAATTACGAAGTGTTACGAAACATATGCTATATTAGAAAATGAGTTAATATAAACCGCGCCAAAACGACTCTTATGACAAACAAATGCGAATTGACAGATATCTGATACCATATGTTTACCGCAATATTATAGCCAGGGCTCGTTGCTTTAACTCGGTGAGATTAATCTTTCTTTGATTTATTGGAAAATTTCGGTTTATATATCAGAGGTGCCGAGCAATTACTTTCAAAAATAACAAATCGAAAAATTTATGATGTGCAAACAACATTAGCCAAATTTTGGGGTATTTTCTGTTATGAGGCCCAAAAATAACAAAACACAATATGACTTATTATTTTTGAATTTAAATTTCAGATATTCTTTCTAGTTTAAGTTTGGTTCCGCCCGCTGAACAAAGTTTTACTACTTATTTTTTCATAACTTGTAAAACTAAAATCAACTTCAAATTTAGGAGTCTAAAAGTCTAACATGGGGTAATTTCGTAATTTAGTTTTGAGGTTTTACAAATGTATGCAATATTAGATAATAGGATAGTATAAGTTGCGCCAGAATGAATCCTATGACAAACAAATACGAACTGACAGATATCTGATACCATATGTTTACCGCAATATTATAACCAGGACTCGTTGCGCTATTTCAGTGACATTAATAATTCTTTGATTAATTGGAAAATTTCGGTTGATATATCAGAGGTGCCTAGCCAATACTTTCACAAAAAAAACTATGATGTTTAAACAACCTCCGCCAAATGTTGGGGTGTTTTCTATTATGAGACCCAAAATTAATAAAACGTTAAGTGACTAATTATTTTTGAACTTAAATTTCAGATGTTTTTTCGAATTCAATATTCGAGTCTAAAATCGAGTCCAACCAGGTTCAACCATGGTGATTGATTTTTTTTTCGAAAACTCGAACGATTTTTATTGGGCCGCATTTTCAAAAAATTGCCCAATTTTTGTTCAAGCAATTCAACAAGTTCTAACCTTAGACACCTTTGCTTAAACATTTTTGAAAAACAATTGCATTTTCATTAATTTCTGTGCATGAAATTTTTTTTGACTGTTTTCTTAATTAAGAAGCGATTAAACCTTAAATGTTGTGAGTGCGACTTGAAGCCAGTTATTGAGTACTTGAGTAAAATTGTACTTGAGTAAAAAAATTGATAAGTTCATCAAAAACCTAACAAAAAAAATGATTTTTAATTCAATTTTTTCCTTAATTTAACTTAACCCCCATGCGCTATGTAAGCTACGAAAAACTTGCCCGCGTTTTTTATCCCAAATTGGCCAAATAAGGAAATTTCAATTTACCATAACTTCGCAAAAATGCGTTGAGTTATCTTTTCTTACATTTATCTCCGGTCAACATTAAGTTCTTACAAAAACTCTTGGTTACAAAGTCGAAAACTGACTGAAAAAAAACTCACCCAAAGCGTAAGGAATTCGCATTTTCTTTGAAAGTGGAAACAATAAGGCATTTGGAAAGCAATTTATAAAAGACCAACAGGACGGCTGGTATATCAAGGCAAAGCCCTGCATGTTCCTACTGCCCCTTAGTTTGTATCGATTAGCTTATTAGTTTTTGGGAAAAGAAAATATAACAAAAAAGTATAAACTTTGGACAATATCGAAGATCAAGTTCTAGATTAGCGTTTCGCAACGCTGAAGCGGTTTTAACAAATACTTTAATCAAATCGCAATTAAAAAAGACTGTAGCAAAACATCAAAATTGGTTATTTGTTTATGTGCTTTTCCTACTACTTGAAATTGTGACAAGTTTATAGGCAAAAAAACTAGATCATATTTTATTTTCAATCTTTGGAACTAATTGAGGCAAAAAAGAAAACAATTATAAATATATCCAATCAAGTAGTTTAAAAGTAACCTCGTTATGGTGAAATAATTACAAATAGTACTGTTAAAAATTACGTTAAAAATTGTGGTGTCTTTTTTAACCAAAGAGCGAACAGTGTTTGAGGAATTTTGCTGATGATTGAAATTTTGTTGTCGCAAAACCTGCCACATAAAATAAGTTAGTCATAAAATGAGTAATTCGCAAAACATGCCACCTTCAAATGGGTAAGTTGCATCTCAAAAGATATTTGTTGCCATTGCAATATTATAGCTTGATTAGTTTATGTTTCCAACAATTAATTTAGTGTGGCTTGTATTTATCTAAAAACAAAAAAATCAATACCTCGATTTTTGGATGATTTCTAAAACCAAGCTGAACATCAAAATCGGTCTGACAGTCTAGCAGAGGGTAAGTTTGTTTCGAGGTATTACAAAGCAAGTGTTATTATGACAATAAATTTATCTGATGGCAAACTGATGCAAGTTGACATATATGAGATAACACATACTTACCGTAACTGTATATCAGGATTCATTGCCTTATTTTAGTTGGTTTTGTTGACAGGATGGAAAGTTTTTGTTTGATATATCTGACGGGGCGATTATTCGATTAAATGAAAAAACTCACATAAATACAAAATTTGCAAAAAAAATTAGCCGAACGTTGTACAAACAGTACAAAAAATTCAGACCAACCTTTGCAAGAAAAAGTGATACATGGAAATAGATATTTTTCTATTTATTTTTTCAGCATTTTTTTCTTCATTTTTTGCTGCTTTTTTTCTTAACGAAATTGAATGAAACATTTAGAACAGAAAATTAATCATCGAAAAAAAAAACTAATTTTGCGAGAGATCAGGCTTTTTTCCATTCATACATATTAATTACCGGGAAAACTCTCTGCGTTTTTGTGTATTTCAAAAATTTTGTGCCACAATTTTGAGCGACCGAAAAATGCAGCTCAACTTTGAGCAACAAAATGTTCCTCAGTTTTGCACGATTATTTTGAGTAATGTCACCACTATATTTTGAATATCAGCTAATACGAATTAGTCTTAGGATGAAATTTCTTTCCTAATACTTAGTAGTGATTACTGACCAGAACAAAACTATAGGATTCATTAGGGTGGGAAAATGCATTGTAACTGAAACCTAATTTTTAAGTAAAATTTTGCAGAATTGAGTGTTTTTTTTTCAATTCGGTAAAAAAATACTAAACTATTAAATATAATTTGTAGAAAATTATGTAAAGTTTATTCGTTCTCATCGCGGGAGCTCTTAAATGATCCCAGTAAGCAACTTTCCTGGAATGCCTGATGCGTATTGCAAGACTATCGCGGAGTATTTTCTAGAGCAAAAAAGAGTTTGCTCAAACTTTTGATCAAAGAAATTGATGAAAATTAAAGGGAAAAAATGTGTGATTTTGCGCAATTCTTGGGGCCTTGTGAGCTTTGAACTATATCGTGTTCTGCTAGACTTTATATTGCATCTTTGCACGATTATAAATTGTGACTTTGCGCGATCTTTTCATTGTGACTTTGCACGAATGAGGAGCTTCGGTCGTAGATGATGCGATGCCTGACCCTTGAACTCATAGGTAGTCAAAGTTTTTATTGCTTTGCTCTGATGCCAGAAATCATGTTAGTGTTAGCTTACTATTTATCCGACCAATACGAGAAAAAACAATCAAGCTGCAAAAAAAAGAAAAGATAGCGGTGAAAATGCCACACTTCTATATTCAGTTTATCACATAAATAAACTTGTGCCCTTTGTATGCCTAGCGATGGAATTAATGAGCCGAATTCCGATAAATCTGAATGGAAATTTTGTTTGACCCATTGATCTCTGAAGAGGGGCAATCGAAACGTAGGCAGCCATCGAAACGTAGGTAGGTCAAATCAGCTTCGCCCCATTTCGCTCTCCCATTGATTTTTTTCCGCTGAAGTTACGATCGGCACTTGTAAATTGCTTGATTTCATTAAGATATTGAAATTGAAACAGTTAAGTAAATACTTCACCTGGCGAAGTTCGTCGATAAAAAAGTGCAAAAATTTAATTATTACATGTAATTTATAAAATATAAATTACCAGTTATCAGACCGTCATCCTTTTAAGTCCGTTTTTTTTAGTTGCGTCACAGCTTTACTGAAGGGGTGGAGCTTTATTCAGTAAATAGAAGGAAATAAAACTCACTTTTATTTGGCGTTAGAAATAGAAACCCATCGACTTAAGCCTCTGCCGATATCGTAAATTTTCAGAATTCAATACCACTTATTTCTTCTGCATGAAGAGGTAATGAAGCGAATAAAAGAGAATACTGATGGTATAAAAAATGGTGCATTTGATATGAAAAATTTAACACACGAAAAAAAGCAACTGCGGTGACTAACAATGAAATGAAATAGGAATTTGACAAATCAAACACTCCGCAGGTCGAAAATCGGAACCATGCACTCAAGCATAGTGAAAAATGAGGATAAAAATGTTTGTGGAAGTAGTGTGTTTTTAGTTGTTTTGTGGGAAAATGGGAAAATATAGATTAAAAATGCAGTTACTCTCAAAAAGGAGAAGTCACAAGCAACGCAAGGAAATGAAGCAAACTGAATCAGAAAATACAAAGAAAGAATGGTCGTTTTTTTACAACGAAATAGGAAAAATACGCGCACTCGCTTAGCTCTGAATACAAAAACTATCACGTATTTTTTGTGATATCAAAATTAAGTACGGCGTGTATTGTGATGACAAATGCGTAAACAATGTCAAAATTGGTGCTGCAAATTTTCCGCTTGCGTTTTAAAAGAGCAAAATGGAGTTTAAAAACAGAGCTGCCAGTGGTATCACAATTGGTTTCAAATGCTTTTCAACATTTTTCCAAAATATCCAGTTTTATACAGATGTTGTTTGTTTGATGAAATACTTCTTCAAAGTATTGACAGGAAGCTGGCTGGGAAATTTTTGCGCTGAGCAACTGTCAAAGGAGTAACGAAGGTTAAATTTAACAAAGAAAAATAAAAAATATATATGATGTTTTCAGGGGCGGATACAGGATTTTC